TACTGTCACTGCACAGAATTCATTATCATAGCTGTAGTATCACTGGACAGATTATGTTATTTTTTTCTCTATATTATCACAGGACAGAATCATGTTCTACTGTGTTTTCCTAACTTTGAAATACATAAGAAGTTAGGAATAAGTATCATATAAGAAGCAAGAAAACAGGAAAATAAATCAGGGTTGTTATTAATTGGTACCAAAGAAAAATTATTGTAAAAAGAACAAAGAGAATGACTATCAAGTAATACAAGAGAATTGAATATCAACTGGAACGGAGTAAGGGAAACAACCGAAAACATTTACAGGAAAAGACATAATTAGTAACTAAGACAGAGTAAGAGAGTGAAAGATAGGTTGGATCGCTTGGTAATTGATGTAAGAGAAGTAGAAGCAAAGGATAAAAGATGGATGTGATATATATAATAATAAATGATCCATGAGACTTCTCTTTCATGAATAGTTAAAACTTCTCTGAGAATTATCTGTCCAATCACTTGTGCATGCTGTTGAAACCTTATGTTTTGGAAATGTCGGAAACCATATTTTTTGACCAGTGTTTAGAACTTGATCAAAATTTTCGAGTTTATTTTTATGATGATGTTCTAGTAATTCATTTTTAAGGTATTGTACATCAGGAAAATGTTCAGAAAGTTGTTGACTAAGACACGTATCTTGTGGTATTTTCACTATGAAGATTTTAAAAGAAAATGAAACAGTTAAAGTATATGAGCCTCAATTTTTTTATTCAAGTCAATTGTAAGTCTTCATTGCATTATAATTGGAAAGAATACTTGAAATGTTTTAGAACAGTTACAGTAATAAATAACAGTGATAAAACTTGTCCCTGGTTCAAGTTTTACATATTCTAATTCAATGACTGAAAATTTAATCAACTTATTTGCAGTTAAACTAAATCTAAGCCTAAGATCAAAATTTCAGTTGAACATGCAGCTGTTTAAGTAATAAAACATTTAACTGTTCTTTGATTATCATTTTTTTAAATGGTAACTAATCGGAACTGTAGCAAACAGTGTTGTCATGAGGTAGATTCATTTTCCTGTATTAGAAGTTTTGTAAAAATAACTGCTGTACAGTGCTTACCTGCTTAAATTGTATCAAATATGGCTGTGTCATACAAGAAACTAGATCAAATATGGCTATGTCATACTGGTAACTAGATCAAATATGGCTATGTCATACTGGTAACTAGATCAAATATGGCTATGTCATACTGGTAACTAGATCAAATATGGCTATGTCATACTGGAAACTAGATCAAATATGGCTATGTCATACTAGAAACTAGATAAAATATGGCTATGTCATACTGGTAACTAGATCAAATATGGCTATGTCATACTGGAAACTAGATCAAATATGGCTATGTCATAC